AATGGGAAAATGGAAAAGGGGGGAAAGGGGGAAAGAGAAGGGAAGAAAGTACAGGTAAATTAGAGAAAGGAGAAAATGGAAAAGGATGGGGAGAAAGGAAAGGGGGAAGGAAGGGAAAAAATATTGGGGAAAATTAGAGAAAGAGAAGGAAAAAAATAAAACGGAGGGGAGAAAGAAATGGAGGAAAAACGGGAATTAGAGAAAGGGAGGGAAAATGGAAAAGGAAGGGGGGAAAAAAGAATAAGAGAAAAGGAAAGAAAAAAAGGTTATAAAAAGTAAAGGACGGAGGAAAGGGGGAAAAGGCAGGAAAAGGGAAGGAGGGAGAATAAAAAAAAAATAAAAAAAGGAAGAACGGGAAAGAATTAAAAGAGGGGGAAGGGGGCAGGGAGAGGAGCGGGCGGGCGCTGCCGGTGTCGCGGTGCCCACCGGGTTAACGGGTGCCGGTACCCGCACCAAGGTCCCAGGGGCTCGGGGCCCCGTTTCCCGGTATCCCGGTTCCCGGTGCCGGTGCCCTGCTTCCCAGTATCCCGGCCCCAACACCGTTCCCGGTGTTCCGGTGCGGCTATCCCTATTCCCTGTCCACCCAGCCCCAGTATCCCTATTCCCAGCGCCTGCAGCCTCGGTATCCCGGTGCCGGTGTCCCTATTCCCGGTGTCCCCATCCCCCGGTTTCCCCAGCCCCGATGCCCCGTTTGCCAGTCCCTGCAGCCCCGTTATCCCGCTGCCCCCAGCCCGTTATCCGGGTGCCCCCATTCCCGTTCTCCCCGTTCTCCCGGTGCCCCCATTCCCGTTCTCCCCGTTATCCTGGTGCCCCCATTCCCGTTCTCCCCGTTCTCCCGGTCCCCGCTGAGTGCGGCGGGCGCGGCAGCGCTCGCAGCGCGGTCTCTGTGGCGCAATCGGTTAGCGCGTTCGGCTGTTAACCGAAAGGTTGGTGGTTCGAGCCCACCCAGGGACGGTGCCACCGTTTTTTTTTTCCTTACCTCCCTTCCGCCGCTCCTCCTTTTTTCTCCCTCTCTTCTTTTCCCAGGGCTCCCTGTGCGCTCCCTCCCAGGCGCTGGATGAGGAAATAAAGCAGCCCCTTCTGTGCAGAAAATCGGCCCCTCTGCACCTCAGTGTCCTGTAACGTGTCAGGACATTGAATCGGAGAAGAGACATTTCCATCCAGCCTGTTTCCATCCAGATTTTCCATATTTCGCCTCAAAAATAAACTGAAGGGGGGGGGGGGTCCAAAAATCTGTGTTTGCTGAGCTTCCCCCCCCCCCCTTAAAAACTCTCGTAAAATCTATTTATGTTCCCTGCTTGCCCTGGTTTTATTTTCATACCAGAAATAATGCAGTTTCTGGTGTAATTCAGGGCACAAAGCCGTGCTGGGAAGATCCCTGTTATTCCCATCTGGCTCTGCTGCTCGGTCTCTCCCCAGTGCCTGGGATGTTCCCACCAGGCAGAATGCGGGCTCTGACTTCTGCCAGAAACATTTTACAATGGAAAACACTTAAAAAATACACTTTAAAACGCACTTTAAAACAGCCACAGGCCGGGCTGCGTTTCCAGGACTTGGTCCCGGGACTTGGTCCCAGGATGGATGAACAGTCCCAGCCCGACAGAGGTTTCCACTGGAACCAGGGCTCTTTCCAAACACATGGATCTCTTTCCCTTTGGCACAGCTTCACTCCCCGAAATGAAACATTTAATCCTGTTTCCTCCAGGACAGAGCTGGTGGGCGAGGAAGGGAATCCAATGCTCTGCAGAGCGAATTTCCCTCCGGAATAAAAAACACCCTCCCAGCCACAGGCCCTTCCCCTCCCCTGGGTGACTCCACAGAGAGACTTTACAGAGGGATTTCTTGGTGCTGGCACCTTCCAAAGAGGTGTTTTCCCTCTGGGCTGCCCCATAGGAGGAGTTTCGGGTTTGTCCCTGGATCCCAGATGGGGGTGTGAGGCCTGAAATCCAGATGATACCCTGATATATCCAGCTGTGTCACGTTCTGACGGTGCCGTGTCCCTATCGGCCTATCCAGCTGTGCCCCCACGGATCCAGCTGTGCCCCCACAGATCCAGCTGTTCCCCGACGGATCCAGCTGTTCCCCGACGGATCCAGCTGTGCTCCCATGGATCCAGCTGTGCCCCCATGGATCCAGCTGCCCCCATATCCAGCCGTTCCCGATCCATCTGTTCCCTCATCCAGCTGTTCCCTACCCCTTGGTTCCCGATCCATCTGAACCCCCTTATCCCACCGTTCCCGCTCCCTCCGTTCCCCATCCTGGTGTTCCCCATCCTGGTGTTCCCCATCCCTCCGTTCCCAATCCTGGTATTCCTGCTCCCTCAGTTCCCCATCCCAGTGTTCCCCATCCCTCCGTTCCCCATCCTGGTGTTCCCCATCC